ATATATATATATATATATAAAGGAAGAAATATTTATCCTATTTTATTCATATTCGCGATATTATACTTGTTTCATATTTTTCAAATAATTTTGTTCAGTGAATAAAAGTACAAATATTTACTCTCAACTATTTGCCTCACATATTCATATTACATGTATTAATATTATATATTGATTTATACGTAATTCAAGAAAATATAATTTTGAATTCGTGTATGTGTCATCGCAGAGTCCTCTACCACCACTGCCACCTTCGCCAACACCAAGTACACCACCGCCAATGAGTGCGAAAGCCTCTAGCAGTGTAACTAGCTATAGTCCGGAAGATATGTTAACGGAAGAAGAGGAGGAGATACCTGAGTGTGTCCTTGATTTTCCACGGGAAAAACTCAACATCGTTGAAAATCTTGGCTGTGGATACTTCGGCGATGTTCATCTCTGCGAAGTTGACAGGTTTCCTGGATACGATGAGATTTTCAGAAACACCTCCAGCGATTTAGTTATTGTTAAATCCTTGAAACCAGGATCTTCTGACGCTCTTAGGTAAGAACCATGTAATTTTTTTCGATTTATATAATGGTATATAAAAGCAAGTTATAGCTATTGAATACTTTATCTTTTAAGAAAAATAATCTCTTCAAAAAATTGAAAAATAGCAATAGTTGCAAATGATAATTGACGTCTTAAAATATTTAATATATTATTTATTTCATAATGAAAAATTTGCTCATTTTTTTATATTCTATTTTTATAAATATATCTAGATAAATATATTTAGATAATGACTAGTATTTAATATAACGTTATTTAATATAACGTTATGCGATAGCATGAAATTTGACTTTGATTAAATTTTTCTCAATTTACATAAAGGTATACAAAAATAAGTTATGGAAATTGAATGCTTTATTTTTTGAGATTAATCGTGTCTTCAATAATCGAAAACAGCAATCGCAAATAATAATGAATTTATGTTCTAAAGTTTTTAATTTAATGTATTATTTATTTTGTAATGAAAAATCTTGTCATTCTTTTATATTCTATTCTTATATTTCGATAAATATTTTTATGATAATGTTTAATTGAGAATGTTTTATTGAGAATGTGTTTTGTGATAAGAACATAAAATTTCATATCAATTAAATTCTTCGCAATTATCGTCAATATTGCGTTAATTAAATATAATCACTAGGCATTTAGATATTATCGTACGGATATCAAATATATGGTATCAAAATATTAACTTTAAAACATATATTTTGTACAAAGCTTAAATATCTCGGGAGACAACCGCTCCTACAATCAAAAAGCGAAAGCGAAAGCAGTGCCTATCTCTATCGACGATAGAAAATTATTCCAATAGATTATAGAGCGTCGCGTTAACGGCGTAATTCAATAAAGCGGCGCAAAGTGATTCCGAATGTAATGACACGCTACGCGCATTAAGTAGATGTGGCCGGATAATGCGGAAGGGCTTTAAGCGATCGATGATTGGCATGTAATCGAATAACTCGTCCATGCTCATACACGCATGTCTGCGTCAATATAATTTTTCATAAAGCGGTGAGAGAGGAGGGTTCTTTCACCTTTAGAAAATTGGAAACATAAAATCCTATTCTGTATTCAAAGCATCTTTCTACGGGGCATACGATTTAGCGATTGGTAATATGAAATATTCGTCAATAATCTTGTTTATCCTGAATGTTATTTATGTTTCGCAATTTTCGAAATCCCGTCCACGTCTAAATCCACCATTACGACCTACTTAGCGAATCAGCATGTATGCACTGTACGTGCTTCATCGTGGCTTTTTCAGTGAAATATTTGAAAATCAGTATCCACTGATTACAGAGCGATACTGCGCAATAATTGGATGATATTATATAAAGTTAATTGGATAATATTATATAAAGAAAATGATTATTCCGCGCACTCTATAATTTATAAATACAATGAATAAAAATTACAAACTGTACTTTGTAATATCTCATATTATGCGTCATGTATAATTATATGCGCAGTTCCACACTGATCCAATTCACATCGAAGCGTATTTGTTTCTATAAAGTACATTTCAGAAAAATCTAGAATCAATGCTTGAACGAAGATTTTCGTAGCTCAACCATGAACACTACATCAGCCAATAAAAGAGATCCTTTTTATTGCATTCGCGATGCCGCTATAACAACGTTTTGTTCGGACGATCATGATTTTCCCTCTTCCTATAGACCGATAGGGACAGGAACAAGCAACGGAGCGCGTCGTACCGGATTCACTGCATCGGCCCGACGACGCGCAGTAGCAAAAGGATGATCCTCGCAGACAGGATCATGGATGGCATTGTCTACAAAACACATTTTGCCATCTGGGAAAAGCCCGCGAAACCCGTGTCGTCGCGCGAAATGGATGCAACTCATGTTAGAGCGCAATCGTTCTCTCGCTGGTCTTTATTCTTTTCCACGCCTTTCTTTCTGTTGGCTACAATCAACTCGCGTTCCACGAAAAAGTCTATCAACCAATCTGCCTGATAGATTTTCGTTTTTTGATCCTATTATACATTTCGTCGTCTGATGATTGAATTTTTCGATGCAAAAAGGAATTTCATTTTCCGCGTTGACATTTTCAATTAAGTAATTTTATGTTGCGCATATACGCATGTTCTATGAAAAAAATGTACTGATGAATTTTAAAATATTTCCCAAAAATTAATATCATGTATAAAATAAAACGTGCTGGTCGGTCAAATACATATCTCATCAACGAAACTCAATATTATAATACATCGCATTTATTCGAAATACATTCGTGTTTACTTCTCTAAATGAAAGCGTGCTCGTCTATGCAAATATGTTGAAATCGTAAAAATGCAAATTTTCAATAATTTCAGAGATATCATGGAATTACTAGAAATTATCCTGTGTCAAAATGTTTATGAAATGATCTTTTTTTCGTACCAATAAAATTGATTATTCGACTATAGAATAATAAAGTGGCTCATTAATCGCTAAAATTTTTATTGGATTGATTTATAATATGAGGAGATAATTTTATATCAAAAATTGTAAAGAATATAGGTTTCAATTGTCATACAGTTCATTGAGTTCTTATCGAATTCACTATTCGATGTGGCAGTTTATATCATGTTCTGCATCGTCTGCTCTTGCTAGAATTTACTCACATGTGTAGCACAGTAGTGCATAGTCGCAACCCTTATTCGCGGTTGTCCTTATTCGTGACTCGCGCTATAACCCCGTAGATAGGTTTCTCTTTTATCCTTGGCATTTCTGTATTGCTTTCCTGCCTTTCTTTCTTCTTCGCGAGACAACGAAAACTTCCGAGAGACAAGCGAGCGATACCGGAACGGAATATCTACATTACTTCCAATATATATATCGGCATCCGTATTCAATACTCACGGCCTTGGTACCGCGGGCACCTATAAAGATATTACTTCCGGATGCTCCATGTGTTTTCCAGGATAGAATTTCAACAGGAGGCAAAGAGACTGGTACGACTCGCCGATCGAAATGTCGCGCGGCTACTCGGTGCCAGCCTTGAGAACGATCCCATGTGCATCGTATTGGAAAACGGCGAGTATGGGGATTTGAATCAATATCTGCAAAGTCACATCGCCGAAACTTCAAACTTGCACACGGCTAAGACGCTTAGGTATGATAAACACGATACTTTTCTAACTTAATTTCCATAGTTTAATTAATATTATTACCTCTTAAACATGTGCACTAAGATAAAGTATCATATGTATACTATAGTTTATGTAAAATTTATGTATGGAGAAACCGAAGACTACATGTCTAACCTAAGTTTTGTGATTTTTTTTTCTAATTTTTTGTTGAATTAAAAATTAAAAATTAATGATTTCTTACTAGAGGATTTCTGAATACTAAAAAAAATATAAAATATTTTCAATTATTTACATAGATGCAGCATAAAAGAAGTAGCGTTTTTCGTATTGAATACATCACTGTTAAAAACTCATAATATCAAATTATACTGAATTTGAATTATTTATAATTATTTTCTTTCAGATCGCTACTGCCTCTATTCAATATGTTGTTAATTTAATTAAAACAATAAAGTTAAACAATTTAATTCAAGAAAATGTTTTAAATGTAGTTTATTATTATATATTTAAAAAAGGCATATGTTAATATGGACGTTATTTACTTCGAAACTAATCACAGAAGAAGATTGATTTATATTTTGATATATATAAAAATAATAAAATAAATAAATAATTGATAAATTAAAAATAATAAAATGTTATTTAAATCAAGAGATT